AGACTCCCTCTTGAGATGGTTCGTCGAATTGGATGACGCCATAAGGGCGCGTCGCATCGACGACGGGGATATGCAAGTTGCATTTGCCCAGTCAAATCTGGCAGGACGTGCCAAGACTTGGGCACTGGGGCTCAAGTTGCACGACCCATATGCGTTTGGGTCGTTGGAAGTCTTCAAGTCGCGGCTCAGACAAACGTTTGAACCGCCTAGAGCTGAGTTCAGAGCTCGAACCGAACTCTTGAAGCTCAAGCAGGGTAAGCGTGATGTGCACGCTTACGCCCAACATATACGACATCTTACGAGTTGTATAAGTTCCAATCCGGTGGATGAACACACGTTGGTTTCGGTGTTCATACAGGGTCTTGCAGATGGTCCCGTCAAGACTCACCTGTTCCGGCTTGAACTAGATTCACTAGAACAAGCCATTTCCATTGCTGAACAGGAAGACTTCAGTCTGAGACAGGCTCGCGCCAACTCGACATCATATCGTCAACCGAGACGATATGACAGCGGAGGTCCAGAGCCGATGGAACTCTGTTATGTAGAGAGCGAGAAGGCTCGCTCTACAGACAACAAAAGGTTGCAGAAATGCAATAGATGTCAAAAGACAGGACACTACGCTTACGAGTGTAGTGCCCCTCGTCCAGTGTCTCGCAACACTGGGCGTAGTGACCATCCACCCATGAGAAAGAGGCAGGGACGCGGGTCCGCTGTTGGTGCGAAGACGCAACAACGGGATGGACCGTCAAAAAACGGACAGGATCAGTAGGTGCGGAGCACCCTACTGGTCTAGCAACGTCAAGAGAATTTGTAGGCCTCTTGATGAAGGTTGCTCCCAACACACAAACGTTGTGCGTTGCTGCTCTAGGTAATGAGATCTCACTCATTACCTTGAAACTCGAAGTGACGAATAAGTTGTCCCTTCGAGCTCGAGTCGATTGTGGGGCGTCCAACAATTTTGTGCGACGCCAATCGCTAGAAGATGGTCATTTTAAGTTCAGTGAATGTGACACACCTCCTACGAGGATGACGGTACGTCTTGCGACAGGCGCATCCGTAACCGTCATGACGCGTATAGTGAAGATCCACTATACGCTAGAAGATACCCAATATGACGATGACTGTATCGTATTGGATTTGGATGACAAATTTGATGTCATCCTTGGAATACCGTGGCTCAGAAGGTACGAACCACGGGTAAACTGGCAACACCGAACAGTAACGATGCCTGCCGCTTGTTCATCAGACGGCCATCTGATGAACGTTTTGGAGCGTCCACAAGCGTGTGGATGTGCTACGAGTGAGTGCGATGGCCTCACTTGTGGTACGGTCGTTAGTACGACTGCACAAAACCTTAGTGTACCAAACGGTCACACTTCGGAGCAAAGTTCCGGCGGCTGTGAGGAAACACAGGCTGCGCCGAAGGTCCACCACTCGAATAAGTCGGGTGGACTGGGACAAAGATGTATCCCTAGCGGGGAACATCTAGAAGAGAAACAATCGATCGCTCAGGTTAAGCGAAACGATAATCCTAGATCGACTGGAGAGTCTTTCGTAGAGGATCTCGCTGTGGTTGCGCAACCCCAGCTAGAGGAAGTAAAGGGAATAAGTCCCAAGATTACAAATACGGCGGAAATAAGTTCCCCGAAACCCGCGGGAATAAGTCCCCGGGAAGCCGAAGGAAAAAGTCCTTCGAAGCCTGAGGGAATAAGTCCCCAGGAAATGACAGAGACATTAAATGTCCTAGTCAATGACGGATCAAGTGTAGGCGCTTATACACTTGATCTGATTGCGCCTCCGAAGTTGACTTCGGAGATCACTCAGTTGCCAACGCTCGAACATAAAAGGTTCTTGCGTGATCTGCGTAGTGGCAAAGTCAAGCAGATCTGCATACTCGTCGCTGACGACGAGTATGTAACCGACATAAGGTCAGCAACAGTGTTCACTGAGAACGAGAGAGTTCTCTGTAGTTCATCTATGGACGAAAGTGTCCTGGATGAAAAGACACGAATTGAGCGATATGACTCCCAATCGTGGGAATCGCTCAAGAAAAATCCTCTCTATGAAGATTTGGTTGAATTCAAGGATGTATTCCCTGAAACTGTTCCGTGCGAATTACCGAAGGATAAAGGTATTCGACACGAGGTCGAGCTTAAACCAGGCTCGAAGTACTGTGTCATGAAGCAGTGGTCGCTGCCTCGTGAACAAGTACTTGCGATCGACAAGTTCTTTGCCGATCGTTTAGCTGCGGGCCATGTGAGGGAATCAACTTCCCCACATAGCTCTCCGACCTTCTGTGTGCGAAAAGCAACAGGGGGGTGGCGGATAGTGCACGCGTTCAACAAATTGAACGCTGCAACGGTACCGGCTCAGACGCCGATACCGAGGAAGGACGTAATCATTGATGGTATGTCAAAGAGTACCATCTTTTCGTCCATGGATTTGATGGATGGCTTCTATCAAATCCTTATGCGGGAACGGGATATACCCTATACCGCAGTTAGCACGCCTAGCGGCATGCTCTGGGAATGGCTAGTAATGCCACAAGGGCTTAGTAATGCCCCTGCCACTTTTAACAGATGTGTATCACATCTGTTGAGACCAGTACGAGATTCACGCCGAGTTATTTCGATGACGTATTCATCCATAGTCGAGCTATGGATGGAAAGTCGGACGTTGAGGTTCACAAGTACCACGTCCGACAAGTTCTTACAATCATGCGAAAGCATCAATTGTATGCAAACCTCAAGAAGTGTATATTTGCAGCAAGCGAAATACCACTTCTTGGGTGCATCGTTGGTAAGAACGGTGTACGTCCTGATCCCGAAAAGATCAAGGCGATCACCGACTGGCCCGTGCCGGTCGATGTCAAAGGTCTTCGAAAATTCCTTGGGCTAGCGGCGTATTTGCATAAGTATTCACGCAATTACGCCGAGATGACTGTACACCTCTCTCGTTTGTTGAAAAAGAACGAGAGGTGGTTATGGAACGCTGAATGTCAGCGCTCCTTTAATGGTATCAAGCAGAGCTTGATACAATCCCCAGTCCTAGCAATATCCGATCAGGACAGGCCATTTCATGTGGTCTGTGATGCCAGCGATTTCGCAATCGGCTGTGCATTAATGCAGTACGACCTTGAAGGCGTTGAACGCGTCGTCTGCTATCAGTCGCGTCAGCTGCAACCAGCTGAGCGGAACTATCCAGTGCATGACAAGGAACTCCTTGCCATGAAGTATGCACTCGCGAAGTTCAGAGTCTATCTATTAGGAGATAGACCATTCGTTGTTTACACTGACCATGCGTCATTACGCACGGCAGTGAACAGCCCGCACCTTTCACAATGAATGGCGCGGTGGTTGTCATTCTTTGCGGAATACAACTTTACGGTCGAGTACAAACCAGGACGACTTAATGTCGTCGCTGATGCACTCTCACGTCGTCCCGACTTTGAAACAGTCGCGAAACCCAACAGTGAGACAGTCACTGTTGCGGTTCTGACGTCCTCAGTCCCATCTACAACGTTGTATGATGATGTGAGGCGGCCGTACGCCCAAGATGGTGAGATAGTGAAGTTGTTGACGCATCTCTCCCAACCATCCCGAGAATCGTTGAAACGATTGTCGCCTGCGTATCGATCTGCATCAGATCGATACACTACTCGTAACGGTTTACTGTATTATACAGCCGTTTCTGGTGACACACCACGTGTTGTCATTCCAGATGACACTGATCTGCGTTTGCGGATCATGTTCGAGTATCACGATGCTCCTATAGGAGGACATCGTGGCCGAGAGAAAACATATCTCACGGTAAGTCGAGACTTTTACTGGCCCCGCCAGTATCAGTTTGTGCGAAATTATGTTCGCGCATGCGAAGTCTGTCAACGAGTGAAGTCAAGTCCTTCACTGCGTGCACCTTTACAGCCTCTACCGGTTCCGGCTGAGTGCTGGGAATCCATCTCAATGGATTTCGTCTTCGGGTTACCCAAAGACGCACGCGGGAATACGGGTATTCTCGTATTTGTTGACAGATTCAGCAAAATGGTACACCTTGTGGCTGTACCAGAGACAATCACGGCAAGTGGCTGTGCTTGTGTCTTTATTGACACCATCTTCCGACTTCATGGGTTGCCCCTTGAACTCGTATCAGACAGAGATCCACGATTCACTGCTGATTTCTGACGTTCCGTGTTCAAATCACTCGGAACGCGCTTGAAGATGTCAACATCTGATCATCCAGAGTTAGATGGTCAGACGGAACGTGCCAATCGTGTCCTTGAAGAGATACTTCGAGGATACGTACACTCCTTTAAGAGTTGGAGTGAGTTTTTGCCGATGGTAGAGTTTGCCATCAACAACTCGGTGCATGCGTCCACGACACATACACCGTTTTACGTGAATGGCTTGCGCCATCCGCGTGTACCCACCTTACTAGAGTGTAACTCTGGTTTAAGGGGGGAGGGACTCGCGCGAGCAAAAACCGATTTGGTTCACGCTCATCACGCTCTGACGAAGAGGTCATTGCGTTTGATGCCGATATCGATAACATCGATATCGAAGAAGATGATGCCAGTGAGAGTGCGGAAGCCCTCACTGAAGAAGATGATGCCAGTGAGAGTGCGGAAGCCCTCACTGAAGAAAAGGTTGATGTTGCTGCAGTGCGCTCACAGCGCACTGAAGCTAACGAGTCATCAGATGAGTTCATACTGGCTCGTGAAACGGTAGTCCGTTTTGTGCAAGACTCCATCGCCGAAGCGGTGGATAAGCAAAAGCAAAACGCTGATAAGAATGGAAGGGCAAACACTCTTTTATTTAATAAAGGTGACTTAGTCCTACTGTCTACGGTTAATCTACCAAAGCATGTAGTGACTAACTTGGGTAGCAGTAAACTACTACCCAAGTACATCGGCCCATTTCGTGTATTGCACCGCCTAGGCAATGCATACACGATCGAGTTACCACGTAAGATGCGAACGCATCCCACGTTTTACGTTGGTCGGCTTAAGCCGTACCATCAGTACGCTGCTTCTTCCGATGAAGAACGCCCTTGCGCTCTAGCATCTCGCAGAGAGCCTTGTGCTCCCGATGGTGGGCATCAACAAGGGTCTGAAGAGCAGCTATCTCATCCCGAGACCGATCAGCAATCCCACGAGCTACCCTTAGCTCGTCACGAAGAGATGTCAGAGATCTCTCGTTCTCAAGCTGAGCAAAGGCAAACTCAGCTCGATGCTTCGAGGCAGTGTCCGCCATTTGGAGACGCCTATTCCGCTCATGTTCGAGATCGTCGCGTAACCCTTGCGTTACGCGATCAAAGAAGCTCTCGGGAACACACCGATCCACATGATCGTGTGGAGAGCGTCTTTCCTCCTCCTCCACCTCCATTAGAGGACTCTCGCGGTGGCCAGCGCTATCTAGTTGAGCGGCTGTTGAACCACCGCGACGTGAACGGACGTCGGACGAGTTATCTCGTCCGGTGGCGCGGCTATCCCCCGTCCTGGGATTCTTGGGAGCCCCGCTCCCAACTGATGATCGACGTACTGGGTCTGGTTGAGGAAGAAGCACGTCAATGAGGCTTTGCAACGACAACCATTTATTGAGATTTTGATTCTCGTTTTTCGGCGCTGACGTCAGTTCTCTTCTAGCTAAAAACAGGCTGGCTCTCAGGATCGCTCTAAAATCCCAATATGTCAGGCTCCAGCACAACTCTGGACTCGCATCATTCCCTAACCACATGTCAAGCATGGTTCTGCTACAGAGTCAGCATTTATCAACTAAATCTGTACACCCAGGCTGATAAATCGAATCGACGTGCCAGCGGTATGTAGACTGTATCGGGCATCATGAAGACTTTTTCCACATGTTGTGGTACTGTGAAGGCGCGAAATCGAGTTAACTCATATCCCAGTGGAAAAGATCGCACGCCACAACTGATTGTTTGCTCCAGTATAAACGTGCAGCTTTATCTCGAACGGCTCCGGAAATTTAGTCGAGGGTGCGTGCTGATATTGAACGCTAATTTCCAGATATATCGAACATCCTCAGTCGGGCCTGGAAACGGATATGGTGATAAGCATGCACAATCTACGTAATCACGACATGGACTCAGCTAAACAGGAGCTTCCGTAAGTAGGAAAGAGCAACTGCCGAACAAGAGGCGGTAGATATGCAACGTGTAACGGGGTGAACAGGTTTCATAACAATTTGTAAGAAATTGTTGATGGAATATAACTATAAGAGTTATATTCTCAGAATATTGTCATAAGGACAAATATTCTGCAGCACTTACGAGTAGTTCCTAATTGGTTGATATAGGCCATTATATCAACCAACGAAGATGCGCCACAACAGACGCTCGCAAAGAGTGGTGAGCAGATAGTTGATATACACATTTGTATTCAGACATAGTTAGATGAGGATAAATAGTGATTTATTGCAGACATTAACTATGATAAATACAGTTCTACTTTTTACTTTAACCAAGTACTCGCTTCTCCTTACCGTCTTCATCTGCACTTACCAGTGTACGTGAGGTTACGCGGCACCGCCTCATTCTGTCATCAGAATAAGTATCTTGTACTGTCATCAGTACAAGCTTGAGGGTGCCCCGTTACACAACGAGTCCTAATGAGACACCTGTACGTGACCGCAATCAAAGAACAGCGGCTTAAAATAATCAGAAACAATAGCGTCTACATATCGCTGGTATCAGAAATGATCCGAGTATTTGTAATGCACCGGCAGTCGGGACAACGTGGCCTACCCAGGCGGCAGTGATCATCCCCTGGAGTCCTGGAGTGGCTTATGGCATCTTAGAAATACAGTAACCGGACACGCAGATAGACTGTCTGTTTCTCTTACTAGAGGTAGTACTAATCCTGCGCATTTTTGTTGTCGAGCTACACAGCTTTTAGCCGGAAATCGACTTACAACTCCAGATCTCACTTATCTTACGGAAATAAGTGCCTATTAATATCAGACCTTATAATTCTTAGAACTAGCCAACAAAGACTAGGAGAGTCTCTAAGCTCGTTAGGCTTCTAGTCCTAGTTCAAGAAACTAACAGCGCCTCTAAGAAACGTACGCACGATGCTTTCGATGGTATACGCTACAAGCTGGTTCTTACTCTTAACGACCTGCTGACGTATAAACTAGACACGTGTCACTCAAAGATCAAAAGGGGAACTGAACTTTAATGCATTATCTTAATCTGTAATGTACCTCATTGAACTACATAATACTCAGGTTGACTTTTTCGCATTGTAATCTTCAGCTCACTATAGATTGATGGATGGTACATTAATGTGTAATTGATGGATGACTAAGGCTATCAGCCACATCAATGATCACAGATAAAACTTGGGATTGTAACAAACATACAAATTATATCTCATTGGGGCGATGACGGTCGTGTTACCACGATAAACTTTTGTCAAGCAGTACATTTAAAGTGTTCTGAATTTGAAGACTTACTCATTGTGCATTTAAAAGTAAAAAGTAACGGTCGCCTTTTCTATGGCTGATATATATCTCCTAAGTATTTAAAAGATGCATTTATAAGCTGTAATTCAACGGCCGCTCTTTGTAGTTAATAATGTTGACGTAAAGGATTTCTTCTTGCATACTATTTTCTTTTAAAAATCAACACGTTATAACGCGTAGCTCTACCACACAGTCCTTGAGCAAACCAGTATTTTATTTCTCACCGAAAAACCAATCTCTTGCCAATAACCACTCGGAATGGGTGCGTAAGTCCTCAGACATTGTATCACTTCTCTGCAGAGAATTTTTGGCACCAAAGATCGATCTCGAGAGCTTACTCCACTACATTATAGCGAGTCCGAAGGGTGAAGCTATGAGTGACTATGCGCAAGTTACACGTGAAACTTTTAGATAGTACTTAACTGTCGGTCTGTGTGCCTGTCCTAATGTAAAATACGCTGTGTACCTTATGTCATACCAAGTTTTTTCCTTTGGAGTCTGTATCCTATCACATCCGTGAGCAAAGCTAGATGTACCTCACACGTCGTACTATGTGAGCTGTAGCTTGTCTCTTACTCATTTTTCATAGGCAATATTGCGAGCCTGAAAAGTGTAGCTGTAAAAGAGCGATTGCAACGTGCGTAAACATACAGAACTTGACTCATTTCCAAAAATTGAAAAAAAATGCCTCTATTGAGCCTTCGATATTCGCAAATGAGCTTTTATCCATTCACAAATCGCGTAATTAATTTAAAAAAAACCTCGATAATCAAATTACTACTTTTTCCATTTTGATTTTGATTTCTAAATCTTCATTGTCGAGACTGAGACAGTCATATCCGCAACTCCACACAGAGTAGCCCCTTTGATGGGTGAGATCACTTATAATGCAGGCTTTCGCCGGCACACCTCCGTGACCTACATGTAGCGGAGCTACACATTTCTTTATCTCAGAGGCAGAATAAGTGCTTAAAGAGCGATATTAGCTCTTATGAATTATACTCTGTTAGTCAACAAGCGTATCACTTAAGGTCCCTGTTCCAGGGGAATGAAAGATTCAGTGAGTATGCAGCACTTAGTGCTTAAGATTGTATTCATCAAGGAGGTGTTGCTAAACCCTTGATGATCTACGATCAGAGAAGCCTCGCAAGGCACGTGTCTCAGACGAGATCGCAGGATAACTGGACTATATTTATGTTAAACTTTTATAAAGTGTCTAAATACTCATATTGCCCAATCTGGGCACTCATGATCTGAATGCATATCTTAAAGATATTTCCTATCTTGTGGCTGAAACCCGTCAGTAGCTATAAACCTACTCATCTCTATATCTCATTTAATGGAAAACCATCCCGTATGTCTAAGACTCCGGGTACCGAGCTCTCTACAATGTGTAACTCCTTTAACCCTCCCCACCAGGCTATCGTTCACCCAAACGTCAATCGAATATTTTTCTATACGAGGTCAAAGTGATTGCAGTTTAACCTCACGGTAATGCAAAGCTGAAACACCATGTCCTCATCGCCTAACGAGTTATAGACTGTCCGTGCATATCTCGAGGTGGAGGAGGCATTGGACTATGGCAGCAATGTTAGTGTCCCGAGTGATGCAATATCTATTCCCGATACAACCATGCCGAAGGTACAAACTCCTACTCCGTTAAGTCTGTTCTATGAACGTGGTGATGCGAATGCGCCATCGGCACCGTATTCAACACCCGGGTCGGATGATGCAATTATTATTAACCCGCTTGATGAGCAGCAACAGTTGGCTGTTCAACGAGAAGAAATCGCTTGGTGCCATGCACAAATGGCCAAGACCCTTGTAATACAGCGTGAATATGTGTACACTCCGCTCCTTGTGTATGAAGTGGACCATTGGTCCTGTAGCTACTTCCACCGACGAAGGGGCAAGAGGCAAAGCACTTCTTGAGAGGTAATTGAAGCCCTATCTAAAAACACAAAGTTAGTACAAGGCACGCCTTGAGATGGAAACCTTATGGTTTACCGTTTCCACCGATTAAGGTTTTACCCATTGTTTTGATTGCAGGCGAAACAACGGACGAAGAAGACAACGACTTCCTTCGCTCGGTGAAACGCAATCATCGCCTCAGCAGCATGTACGTTCTGAGAGATAGTGTCAATGTGGCCGATGTGCGTCACGGGAGCAAGCTCCGGCATGATTATGCCGAGCTTAAGACCAAAGATCAAATACGCAATCGCACTCCCTATGCTTCGCCTACTTCGGAAGCCGCTAGTGCTGTTCAGACTGTGACCACCAACCCGCCAACCCACGCCACTAGTAGTGGGAAACGGTCTCGGCATCTACATGATCCTGGCCAAGATGCTAAAAAAATCCATGGAGGGGGAATCTTGCCAAAGAAGAATCTTATGCTCCCATGAATTCTTCAACCCCAGGTACCCACGCCACTTCACCCGATACTGGTATTGGCCATGACGACGACATTGTTCCAGAATTCTCTCCACATGAACCTGGCGGTTCCCTTTATTATTAAGCAGCGTCGGTGGAGGTCGGTGTAATGAGGGAGGAACATGAGAAGGTTCATCTTAAGATGAGTGATCTCCGTTAGACATTGGGTAAACCCAGGGTGCGCCAGACCAACGCAATCTCGCTTTCAGGAACTGGAGTCGGGTTACACCCGGATGAAGGCCCAGCAGTACTTTCTAATTCAGACATAGCAACCGATGTAAAGATCAATTTTGCGGCGCAAGCGCCTTCAAGTTTAAGTAGGACAGATGCCGAGACGATTTGATGAAGCCAACATGGAACACAGGATGTGTGCGCAATTTGCGTGGAAGGTTACGCGATTCCCTTCTTAAATAACTACTTTGCATGGCTTAATGAAGCGTGGACGCAACTTTGTCTTGAAGATAGCGGGCACTTCATTTATAAGTAGATTTTAGCAATGTGTAATGATTGGTCTCTAACCTGATAACGTTCAATACAACCTCTGTTCTTCGCATCTGCTTGTATTTTTTGTTGGTCTTGGCTATCAGTCATTGCCTCGCCCACATGTCTTAAGACATTAAATCGCGTTGCGAGAAACTCGCTTACCCGTTTTTAACAAGAGCGGGGCTGATATCAGCAAGCCCATCGGCAACCTCTCCTCCGCCAAGAGATGGACCGCATAGTGCAAGCGTTAAAGGAAAGCTAGGGTGGGTAAAACCATTTACGTAGAACCGAGTATAGCCTGTAAAGGCATGAATAGTGTTGCTCATTGTAAACTCATAACAGGAAGCATG